TTGTATTACACATTTGTAAAAGGGAAAAACAAAGATGACGTTAGTTTCTTTTAAAAATATCCAACAGCTTATGGGCAACTTATGTATGCTTTTAAATAGTGATATTGTAATATATTATTTAGCTGATAAATGTTGAGCTACAGAATATCTAAAGCAGTGCTCCTCAACCTTGGCTACACAATAGAAGCACCTTGGGGAATTTTCAAAAGTCTCACTGCCCAGGTCACATGTAGACTACTAAAATCAGTGTATCTGGGGATGAGAGCAAGACATCAGGATTTTTTAAAGCCCCTCAACAGATTCTGCAGCTGTGGTTAAGAACAACTTATATAAAGCATTACCATATTGTGAAGGGGAGGGTAAGATGGATGGGATCTTTAAGCTTCTTTAGTTCCGCTGGGACACAAACGAAAGATCTAATAGGATGACTATTCTGAAGAGTTTTCCATGTGGAATGGAAGTCAAACCTTCACTTTCTGGCTGTTTTATTCAGTTCACTACTTAATACAACTCTGACTCTTACCCTCTATTATGTTTGTAAGTAATCTAAATGGTTTATGCATTAAAATCTCCTTTTCAAGTAAAATCCCTTGATAATGAACTTCAGGTGACATGTATATGGTTTTTGCTGCAGATATTACTTGAAGTCAGATTTATAGTTTACAGAAATTAATACATTGAATCTGGGTAACATTTTATAGTTGAAACATAACTTCCATATATTTAATTTAAACCTAGAGTTGAAAACAGACTTGATACTTGTTATTTCTGAAAAATAAACATGAAAATAAGTTCATTAAACTAGGAGTTTAGGTTTCTAGAGTTCTTGAATATTTTATCCTTTTTATTGTGATGGCTGGTTTGAAAGTTTAGATGGTTTTATCACTGAAGGGGAGCCTCAAAGCTTACTAAATGCTTCTTTATTGCTAAACAAAGTTCATTACTCCGCTTACCTAACAAATGACACTCATTCTAATTCTTTCAATGTCGTCAGTTTTGGCATTGATTATGTATGTTCATTTCCACATGGAACTTATTTTAATCAGGTTAAAAAGACACCAGTTCTTTGGGTGACATTAAGGGATATAGAAGTATGTTTTCATTAATAATAATTTCCATTTGTTCAGTAGCTTTTTCTTTTCTAAGCAATTGGAAGTATTCATGAGTTCACTTGAATACTCCATAAGGCAGTTCTCTAATTCTCAGTTATAGTTCAGGCAGCTTTAATTAATATCATTTGACAGAGAGGGCATTGAGATCATGTGGTGAATTTTACAGTAAGATTAGGACACAGGACTCAGATTGGGGTCAGAAAAAACCTGACTTAAAATTCCAGCTTGGCCAATTACACTTTCCATAAATTATTTTCTCTCTGCCTTGGTTTCTTCACTTGTAAAAATAAAATAAGATTATTACGAGGATTAAATAAAATAGTATATGTAAGCAGGCCCAGTTATATAATTAGTTGGACCTGATGCAAAATGAAAACGTGGGCTCCTTTATCAAAAATTATTAAGAATTACAAGATAGTGACAGCAGGGCATTAATCCAAATGCGGGGCCCTTTTAAGTGCAGGACCTTATGCAACTCTACAGGTCACATGCCTCTGCTGCCATACCTGTGTGTGAGAAATAAGAGTGTAAAACACATAGCAGGTGCTTAATATATGGTAACTGCTGTCCCTTTCTTTGCTATTTTCATTCAGATTTCCTTTCCCTGAATCAAAAAATGTGTATTCACTGTAATCAGATTTTGTTTTACCTGTAGTATTTCAATAAGTGACTACTGTTTAACTAAAGTTTCCAAGGTTTACTTTAACAGAAATTATTGTGTGTTATTATACTGAGTAGACTTTCTTTGCACCACATTTATTGTGTCTCCTTGCTCTTAAAAATGTTGAATAATTTAGGTTTTTCCATATTGTACCTGACCAAATTTACCATTTGTTAGATAATTTAAATTGAACTTTGCTTTTCTCTTTATGGCTCTTTTATAGCACCACTAGAAATGTCTTATTAAAATAGAATGTTTTGATTTATATGCCCCAAATGTACATTAGAAATTTTATGTTACATCACTGCTCTTTACACTTAAATCACTACTCTATAATTTTCATGTGAAGCTCCATAAAGTCTTTACATGTTTTAAATGTTTTTCTCCATTTTTTTCCTTGTTAAATTTGGAATACAAGTCTTCTTTTAAAACACACAGCCACATATACTTACTAAAAAGGTCTGAATTTTCAAAAGAAATATAACTTAGGAAAGTAAAAAACATATGAAATAGTTTCATTATGAGAGTGAAATATATAATCTCTCAGCCTCTTTTAATGTTTTTTGGTTTGTTTTTCTATCTTTAGATGAAGGAGGTTGGGACTGATAATCATTAAGTTTCTTCAAATATTTGAATTCTTAAAATATTCTATTTCTTCTGTTTTCTGTTTCTATACCCTCAGTGCCAAGCTTACAGAGTGTGTGTGTGTGTGTGTGTGTGTAGAAGTTTATTATTTGACTCTCACAAATTCTTTTTGAATGTCGTTGGTGGGTAGCAATGCTCTCATTTTATCAGGAGAGAAACTGACTCTCAGGAAGAGTTAATAACTTGGCCAAGGACAAGTGGACAAGTGGCTAATAAACGTAAACATGAAACTAGAACTCCAAATTCTGAGACCTAGTCCTAGTATCTCTTTCTTGAACACTAAGCTAAATGAAGAAAGGGAGAGGTTAGAGAAAGAAAAAGAGATGAAAGAAATCAGGGTAGTAGTCAGTAGTGTGCTGGAAAATATTTAATAAACAACTGGTTGGGGTTGGGGGAGTGCCCTAATTTGCAGTGTTTGCTGATGTTCCTGGTATAATTTTTCCCACAACTTCAACCTATTAATATGATGTCACTGAAGGTGTGACTGGGAAGAGGAGCACATGGCAATGTGCCAATATGAGCTGGCCAATTGCGAAAACAGCTTTAAGAAACTGACTCAAGATTTATAACGGGATGAGAGGTAGCATAGTTTGGGGACCAGAACTGGTTGTTTAAATGCCTTTAGGCTTTCTTTCACTCCAAAGTCTTTTTTATTGAAACATAATGATATTTGTATATATATTCATGGGGTGCATGTGATATTTTGTCACATGCACAGAATGTGTAATCAAGTCAAGGTGTTTAGAATATCCATCACCACGAGGACTTATCATTTCTCTATGTTGAGAACATTCCAAGTCCTCACTTCTAGCTATTTTGAAATGTACAATACATTCAAAACCATTTCAGCCTGAAACCAAGGCAGAAAAAACTGGGACACCAAAAGGTGTTATATTTAAGTCCCTTCCTTAACATATAGGCAGTTCTACAATTCTGAGTTATAGTTCAGACAGGTTTAAGCATTCAATTGAATGTTTCAATTTTATCTCTCAGTTTGAAAGGCACTTGATGTTATCAAGCTGGGAATGAAAACATTTGAGAGCTACTATAAATACATTTTTCTGAAATAATCATAATGTTCTAAACTCAATACATGTGTAAACTTTAAAACTTAGTAATTCTCTTACTAGTCAAACTTTATATAATTTACATATTTTTGAGAAATAGTATTAAAATAGCCTTTAAATTTGGGGTGTTCAGAATAACTGCATGCTAACACTAAACCTACTTTTCAATGTAGGTGAGAACAGAGAGCATTAATCTCAGTGGATTTTCAAATGCATTGATTCTGGGAGGAAAAAGCCATGTAGCTTTTAATAAGAATAACTAAATCAGAGAACTCGCTTGAGTTATGATACTTGTGGGCAAGTAATATCTATGAACAATTTTTTAACCTCATAAGATGCCTTTGGTAAAGCATAATTTAAAATTGTATTAACTTTTAAGAGTATCTGGAGAATTAAAAACCCCATATCATTATCTGATTAAAGGCACCTGTCTGGTTTATAATACCTTAAATTCAACACTTGACCTAGATTAAGGCAGGAGAGGGAGAAAATTATCTTTAAAAAGTACCTATGATTCTGAGAATGATTAGTACGTAATCTAGGCTTCAAGAAGGATATTAAGAAATAGAGGAGATATTTAAAGCCCCTGGAATCCAAATGATAAATGGCTCTTAACAATATAAAGGTAAAATCTGGAGAATGAAGTTAATTTTGATATGTTTAGAAAGTCAGGTGAGGAGATACGTAAAACTTTGATAAGTAATAATAAAATGAAGCTTTTATAGACCATATTAAAAGTTAGAAAAGTCAGTAGGAATGTAGCCTATCTATCTGAATAATGAAATAAGAGAAATTAATTTTAAGAGTGTATTAAGATCTAAATGTTTTACTTTCTAAGATTAATATAATTCAATAGATGCAATCCCATTCAGTTTTCCAGTCCTAAGGAACTAAAACAGATTCTACAATGGAAAAGCAAACCCTAATTTTAGATAGGTTTGAAGAATGCAATTGTTTTTCGCTACATGGCATTTATCAGTAACTTGAAGCATGTCAGAAACATTTCCTTTCTAACTGTTCTTTATAGTTATCTTCACATCTTCACAGCAAAGCTTTATCTCTGCACCATTCAACAATCCGAAGATAGGACTTTTAAGAGATATCTTCCCACAGATGGGGGAAATAAAACAGTTTACTTTCACACTGTAGGTTTCACCAGAGGACTTGGTAAATATACCTAATCCATTGAAGTCCTTTATAACATTCAAAATCTGTACTGTAGAGCTAAATTGGAGTCAGGAGTGGGTAGGACAGGGTGTAGGATAGTACTGGAAAAATTATTCCACCCCATCAATTTTTCCTTTTGTAAAACGGGTATTTTACCAACTATAAATCCCTATTATGTTGTAGTACTTAACCACTGGAAAGAAGGATAAAAATCCCCACAAAGAGGACCCTACCCCATTCAACGTGGTGATGGCATTGTGTCCTGGACCACATTAACGAGGGAAGGCACACCATGGATTGTTTGGACTTTTCTTTCCTGAAAATTCATCAGTAATAAACACTTCTCACCTGCTCTGGATATCCATCCATACTCCTTTGCCCTTTCGTTTGAATTAAGCACCGTCCAGGTTGAGGTCCCCGGGTGGCCTGTGAAGAGGGGATCTGAATAGGCAATGGTGACTGAAATTGCTGAATGGTCACTTTGTTTATATTTCCTTCATATGGCTGCTGCTCCCGGCTGCGATGCTGAAGGCTTTGGGACCCCATCAACGTCTGGATATGGCTGCCTGCCTGTGGAGAAGATAATATGTCAGGCAAAGATTCATGGTGCTGAAAGGATGTGATTAAAGTAGAAAGCATGTACAGAATACTTCTCTGGTAAAGCGGCACCATTTGGGCTCTCAGTCATGGCCGGAAGGGATAATGAAGAAACAGTAAGGGTCTGCCTACTGCGGTTTGTGAAAATGTTAATATTGGAGCAAGGTCACATTAAATACATTCATAGTCATCTGCTGGCTTGCCAGAGATAATTTTAACCTCACTTTAAAGGAACAAAATTCAGTTTGAAAAATCTCAGGAAGAAAATTAAGTCACAACTTAAAGGGAAGCTGTATCTGGTATTTCATCTTGAAATATACCAGAGAGAGACAGAGAGATGTCAATATATGTAACACCAGGGGGGAAATGCTGGAAACAGTTTTCTGATTCAGAAGCAACTAAGTTTGTTCAGATGAGTATAACCAATATTTATCAATTATCACCATTATTCAAATACAGCCTTTGAAATCTCTAAGTTACATTAAAAATTAATCATGTGATAAATTCCTGTGGGGGCACTAGCTATGGAAACGTCTTCAAAATGAGCTCTCTCTGCAGAAGATCATCTGGTCATGAGCTTCCAGATGGATTAATCAGTACCCCTTATTTAAACGGATAATGATAATTTCTAAATTCTTAAAGGTGGAGGAGAGAGGGTATGCTTGCTGCGGTCTCTCATCTTTAAATGATATGATCATACCCCTACTTCTTTGTTGACTCCTGTTTTCTCACCTTCATTTTAGCACCAGCTCCTTGCGTCATTCTATCTGATGTCTTTTCTACCAACCAAGCAAGCAGTTTTGTGTGTGAGCTGGTAAGCCAGAATATGCCTTTCTAAACTGAGAATGGCTTAACATGGAAGTCTAACATGGAAAATGAATGCTGATCATGAATAATTTTAAACATATATTTTAATGCTGTGCTTAGTACTTCACCCATTACTATTGAAAGATGTGGGGATTTATTTCCTGAATTCATTTTCTTTCCTATTGATCTTTTAAGGATAGGTGACATGAATTCAAAAGTGAATTTCATCTTTGAATTCATTAGCTAGGAAAGCTTGTGAAATTTCCTGACTAATCAAGATTTTTGATTACTATGAAAAAGTTAGGTTGGAGTCATAAAAAGATAATTATTAAATAAGTATTCACGGAAGAGATTAAATTTAATTATTTTAAAGTTTTTAAAGAAGAGCAACATAAAAAATACTACAGTGATAATGAAAAATCATTTTCAGAGGAAAAATATACTACTGGATTCCAAACAAGAGACAATTTCAAAAGAAAATATTCAAAATTATAATTTGGCAATATGTAAGGCAAAATAAACAACCATTTGATTATATTTTAGATGTCCAATTGACTGTCTTGGTATCATTTACAATTATTTACATTCAAAAACAGTAAAGATATCTCAGACATGAGAAACTGGAGGAAAAGATGCAAAAAAGGGCTTCAGACTATACCAGCACAATGTGAAATCAATTATCAATCCAACTCTGTCCAACACATATCCAGTGATTACAGATCTATAACCTCATAAATACAACCAAGATAACCTCATAAAGGGCAAATCTGTATTTCTCCATTATATCTATTCCCTTCTCAGAAATCTTAATGAAAGAAGATATTTCAGCCTTTTCAGCCATTCTAGAACATTGAACACCCTTGTGGTCAAGTTTTTCCTTATTGCAAATTCAATTCTTGCTTGCTGCCATGGAATATCTTTTCTTTTTTTTCCAGGGGGTGTAAGTTGCATTGTGTTTTTGTTTGGAGGAGAGGACAGCCATGATAAGCTCAGTATCACATTCTGATCTGCTGTATTTTTTTTTTTTTTCTTGGCAACGGGGTCTTTTTTCTGTTACGCAGGCTGGAGTGCAGTGGCACGATCTTGGCGCACTGCATCCTCCGTCTCCCAGGTCCAAGTGATTCTTCTGCCTTAGCCTCCCAAGTAGCTGGGATTACAGGCCTGCATCACCATGTCCAGCTAATTGTATTTTTAGCAGAGACAGAGTTTCACCATGTTGGCCAGGCTGGTCTCGAACTCCTGACCTTAAGTGATCCACCGGCCTCAGCCTCCCAAAGTGCTGGGATTAAAGGCTTGAGCCACAGTGCTTGGCCTGCGCTGCTGTATTTTGAATGAACTCACTGGCATGCCCAGTTACATAGCTAGAGAAAATGATTTCAGGAGTCAGAGGAGCTGGGGGTGGAACTATCTGACTGAGGGTGACTGGCCTGGCTACTGAGAAATCAACTGATTTTTAAGTTTATATCTGCTTCCACTGGCAGAATATTCATGGGCCTTCAGTCAGTGCTTGAACCAGTGCAAGTGACAACTGGCAGTTTAATTGAAAGTGATCATATAGATAAGCAAAGCATTTTTCCACCCAGACAAACTTAGAAGGATCCAGAACATAGCTTGGTTCCATGAAATATAATCTACATGAGAAAATGAATAACTGCTTATGGATTACTTTGTTGATTAGAGTATTATAGTGCTAGTCTATTCAAGGGTGAAAAGCAAATGCTATATATTGGAGAACTATAATAGCCTTTGTTATTTGAATTTAGTTTTAATTTTTATTTGTAGACACAGAGGCTTACTCTGTCGCCCGGGCTGGAGTACAGTGGTGTGATCATAGCTCACTGCAGCCTTGAACTCCCGGTGTAATAGCCTTCAGACTTACTTTTCGGGTGTATTTTTTCTTCTAATAGGACAGGATGTGAGCTCAAGATTATGCTGATTTTGAACTCTTTGAGAGCAAGCATCATATTTTACTTACAGTTTTTAATGACTGACACAGTAACTGGCATTTAATAAATAATAGCTACCACCCAAACACTCAGTGCAAATGTGCTAAAACACCATATACATATTACCTCTTTAAACTTTACAATAGTGTTAAGAAATAATTTTTATTATCCAATTTTACTGAGGACAAAACTTAGGGTGGAAGAGGTTAAGTAAATTTCCCAAGTAATACAACTGGTAACCTGACAGCACCATCATTTGAACCAAGTCTATCAAAGGTCGTCCTTTTAAACACTACATTATACTGCAACCCTTTCCCCGCAAATTGACACCCACCCCGATTAGTTGAACCATGAAGTGAAAAGGAACCATGAAAAGGAACAAAAGGATCAAGTTGTTGAGCGAGAGCATATATTATTCAATTTCTTTAGCAGCTCTTTAATTTGCCAAAAGGCAATTTCCTACTCAGTGGATTAGGTCTATCATCTGTTTTAGATGTTGCACATGTGACTTTGAGCTTTATAGTTAAGCAAATAGGATGATGCTTTTGTATTTAGTAATCTATTACTATGAAGTAATTAAGCTTATGCTCTTAGATGGCTTGGCAAAACAAACAATAGGCATGAAAGGAACATGCTGTAAAGTCATTCTGTTTGCAGCAGCAGCAGCAGTAGCAGCAGCAGTTTTTTGTCTCTCTTGGGCTATAGGCTGTGATGAATGACGTTGGGGAATGACAGCTGTAGAAAGCAAAGAATTAACACAGTTTTTTGTAAAGTTAAACAAACGTAAATGACAAGACATCTAGAGGGACAATAATGGTTCAGAAGGACTATAAAGAGGAAGTTGTTTTTTACTGGCACAAAGGCTTGAGAAAAGTAATAAGGATGTTCATGATGAAGTTCAAAGAACTGATGAAAATGCAGAAAATGTAAGAGATTAAACTTATTCATGCAGAGGGTTAGCTGTGAGAACACTGACTCATACTGAAGGGAAATTTGAACATGAAGGTTTCTGTAAAGCTTGTGCTACACATTTTGAATAGTAAAAAGAAACAGAGAAGATTTGACATTTGTTTGGAACTTTCAAGGGGAGGTTGGTTGTAAAAAATAACAAGTATTTGAGGAGAAGAGTGATGGAATATGTTGTTTTGAAGTTGACCCCCTAAAAACTGTCAAAGTTTACAGGGAAAACTCCAATATCTATAGGACCCAAGAAAATACTTGTGTCAAAAACCACAGAAAAGAATTGTTGATTTGATAGCAAATGGCACTGTTCATGCAAAATTCATCCCACAGCGAATCAGGCTTATTATGTGAAAGTTGGAAGTATTTGGGAGGTTTTGTATAATATAAAAGACATAGCTTTATCACTGTAAAAATGATTTGGTTTACGCCGTTCTTTTAAAAAAGAGTGTTAGACTGAGAAGTGTATTATGTTACCCAATTTGGTCATCTGTTTTATTACCCATCTTGGCTCTTGAACCACCTGGGCTTGCTTCCAAAAATCAAACACTGCCTTAAAAGATTACAATTTACGCCACTGAGAATGTTCAAAAGAACATAATTCATTCTCTAAAATTAAATCCAAAAGAGTTCTTAAAATGTGTGGAAGCAGAATCATCTTCAAAGCATATTTTACTTACTGATTTCGAGGAATTAGCACTCGTATAACTAAGTCAGTATCAGTAATTTTATAAAACAATAATAACAACAAAACCCAGGCCTATTACTTTCTATTCACATCATGTTTTCCTTGGCACCCCCACTTTTTTTAAAATGCAGGTTAGTTGTTAAAAATTAGGCCAGTAGGACGTCTGCTTCCAGGTAGATGGGGTAGATGTACTTTGCCCTATTTCTTCCATGAAGTACAACTAAAAAACCTTGGGCATTACACATAAATGTAAGAAGACTATGAATAATAAAGAGAAGGCAGACTAGCTAGGGACCTGGGGAACAAGTCACAGCATGGTGGTAAGTTCTCTGGGCTTATTTTTGTGTCACATATCACAGACTTGGAGCTGAAGAAGCAGACAATCTGAAAATACCAATAAGTATAAACAATGCTCCAACAAAAGTCTACTCTCTCTAACCAATGAATAGGAAAGATGCAGTCTAACAAGACAGAATTCTTTTAGACAATAACTCCTCCACTGAACACCATAGAGAAAAACTGTAGCCCTACCCCGAACAATGCCAGCAAAAGTCAAGTGTTGAACCTAGACT